TCGGGGCTGTATTTTTGATGGTTTTTTAATTTTATTATTTGCCTAGTGAATAAATGATGCGTGTTTTATAGCGACGCTGATGGATGGATGGCTGCCAAAGGCATAGAAAGCTTGGCCAGCAAGGGTTAAGGCCAGCGAAAACTGAAAAATTTATGTTGGCGTGAAGTTGTGCATTTAAATGAAATTAAAAAGGCATTAATATCAGCCAATGAGTATTTTTCTATAAATTTATTATTTGTTTATGCCAAGCCCTGATTGTTTTTCATATTTTAATTGTTTGCTTCTGGCTTAGAGATATTTTAATTAGTTTAAGCTTTATCCGCTTTAAAAATTCCATTATTATTACTCCACATTTAATTAGTTACAAATGCATTTTAATTAAACAGACACTATGGAACTCCCACTCCTGCATATAAAATGAACCGCAAAACAAATAGAATTTGTATAAAATCTTGTTTGCCCAGCAAATTTAAAATTGATAAAAGTTTCGTATTCAATTTGCAGTCGAGTTTACTGAGGTCATGAACTGAGGGAAAGGGTGAAAATCGATTGAATCTGTGGATTTGCCCCCTGTTTTTTTTTTTTGGTTTAACCTCCTCCACTTGTCACGTGTCTGCGTATTTTTTTTTTTTGGCCATCATTCACCTATTTTTGGCCTAGAATTTTTGTGCTGGCTGGAAGTTTGTGCTGGCAAAAAAATAAAAATGCCCGCGTCATTTATAAGCCATTTAATCATCGAGCATTCTTGGACTTTCAGTTCCGTCAGCTGTCGCTACTGCATTTTACTCGCCTTTCCTCTATTTTTAGAGGCTTTTTTGCAGGCATTCTCCAAAAGAGCAAAACTCTCGCAATTAGTCAGCTGCTTGTCGCCGAAAAGTGTCAAAATATTTTTGCTAGCAACAGTTTTGCCTTTCCTTATTTTGTTTTCTATTTTTTGTAATTTTTTTTTACTCAGCATTCTATCTTCCCTTGCATTGAATCAGAGAATGTGTGCAAGTTGGCTAAGAGCCAGGGGATGGGAAACTCGGGGAAAGGATATATAACTACAGATGTGTATGAAATTATAGGATCACTAATGAAGTATTTTTGTTTTTTAAGAACTTATAAATTGACCTTTTGATAGATATGGTTAAATGCTAGATGAGTAAAATATTCAGTCTTTGAAATGTTAATATTTTTTCATTAGTTAAATAATATTAAAAATGAAATGTGCTTTACCCTAAATAATGCATAATATCTTTTGAATTCTGTAAATATTCTGTGTTTCACTTTTAAATGTCAATCTTAGATGTTTAAAAATATGCATAAATATATTTTAAACTTAAAAGTACAATGAATGTGAGTGAAAAATGAATATTATTTATTCACTCCATACTTTAGGATACCTAAAATTACATTTAAAAGTGGATTTAAAAACCTGGTAATTTCTGTGGCATCCATATATATTCATAAGATTTTTATGTTTCAATAAATTATATATCTTAAGGACCCCAAACATTTATCTAGCAAACGTTGCTATTATTTTACACATATCTGTGCGATGAGCTGCCGTGTGTCGTGGCCAAAATGTCACGTATACGTCGTGTGGCCTGCCACCGAATCTGCTTCGCCTCCTTCACGATTTTCACGCCTGTCTCGCGCTTTTCCACTTTTCCTCGCCGGCTGGCTCTTCTTTTCCTTTTGTTTTGCTCGACTGAAGGTAATTACGTCATTAACAAGAAATTTGGAAAGTGCTCGTCATATCATTTGCTTTTTTGGCTTGTGTCAACTGTTTGGCCGCTGTTTTCTGCAAGGGGGGTAATTGCCGGTCTGTTTTTGGGGGTAATAAATGCGTTTCGAAAGGAGACACTTTTGTTCGGGCCAAAAACGAGCAGATTATTTGCTCAGATTGTAAACTATTAGGCATTGTAAATTGAGCTAATTTAACTCGTACAATGTGCAGAAATTTTGAGGAATGGGATTCCGGGAATAAGTTTTCCGTAAACATTTACAGAGACTATGTAGTGAAATTTAATTTGCTAAAATGTTTGTTTATCGCACATTTTGAAGGACTTTAAGTGTTATTAAGGTGCTTTACGTAAAACTACAATGATATTCTAAGGTTACACAATTATAATACACTATACCTTTTAGTTATAGGACTACTTTGGGTAGAGTTTGATATATCACCTTTAGATAAATATAATTATCCTAATGGGGGATGGTTATCCAATCCATCAGTTGCGCCCAACAATTTCCATATTTCATTGGCAAGTCAATAGAACATCCCACCTCTCCAACTACCTTTTGCATTTTTGATTATTTATTTTTGCCTTTTTCTGTGTCTCCTCGTTATTTGTTCTCTAATTAGATGTCACCGACATTAACGAACATTTCCAGGAGTGACTGTTCAGTTCTCTGTGCCTTTGCTATTTTTGCCTGTGGCACGCCTGACTGGGCACGCCCCCAGCCAACAGATATCATGGGCGATTGGGCGTTGTGGAACCTCTGGGCTATTGAACCCATCCAATGCCACTCAACTCTACCTGTCTGTATATCATCGCTATATCGCTCGCCTTTGATCTGGAACTTGGTTGCCCACAATTTGTCGTCGTCGTCTGGCGCTGACATTGATTTTGATTGCAAACTTTGATGTTTGCATATGCAACTCATTAATGCAATGCCACTTTTGCCATTGCAACTTTATCGTTGCCGAGAGCTGAAACTTTTCCTCCACGCATTTAATTAAATAAGTTTTGTGTTAACAACTTGGGTTGTTTCTTTGTTTTTTTTTTTTTTTTGGGTGTGGGGCTGGCTTTTGCAATATTGACAACAATTTATCAAAAACTATTAAGAGTGGCGCCATTTTATGCAAATCACTGTGCACAGTGAGTGTCATTTATATGCAATCGCCCGGTTCGGCGTGTCTGGCTCTGTCAACCGGCATTAGCATCAGCATCACCATCATAATCATATTTCCAGTTCACTTATATAGACAACACCAAAAGCAACCCAACTATGTGGACCTCTTTGTTGCTCATGCACAGGAAGAAATTCTCATAGAAATATGTTACAGGACCTATTTAATATATAGTTTTTAAAGAAACTCTCATATTTAAATTAGAATCTTTTACTTGCATTATGTTCCAAGAATTCATAGAACAGTTATACATTTTTAAATAGACTATAGGACCTTTATATGAGTTTCTATAATTCAAATTATCATTTTTCACCTGCCAAATGTTTATTTATTTTGTAATTTATCAAAGAGTTTTCCGTTTTCTCATCCTCGGGAAAAATGTGAAACCATTAGTTTTATAAAAGGTTAAATAATATTGTGCCTTTAAATAATTTGTTAATCCCCTAAGATGAAAGTATGAGGAAATATTTTTTTATTTTACTTTTTCTGTTACACAACACCTAAATTCTAAATCTATTGTGCTTTATGTTACATAAGAAACAGATATTCCCCCCATTTCTTCCTGTATCCCTCGGTTCTTTGTTGTCAAATCACCTCCCCCTTTTTTGAGCCCCGGGTTATGTTTTTGAATAGCCATTTTAGAAGTCAACAACAGCTTATAGTTATGACTCCAATGGCCCCCGTAATTGAGTTGCAGCTGAAGAGCGGGTAAAAATGGGATGGAGGTACTTGGGGCCTTATGCAAAGCACTCCATGGCCATAAATTGCTTGGGCTTGACTTGCTTCTTGCATTGTTTAAGCCAAATTGCTTTCGACAACAACCCAAACAATACGCAAGGGGATCGAACAAGAAGTTATCTCAACACTGCAGAATACACTTTATCGCCTGATTTAACACAGCTCACATATGGGTAAATAAATAACGAGAAATACATTTTATTGCGAGAGAGAAAGACATTTTTTTAAAGTTATTTTCTGTATGCAATTGTCAAAGTCGCTTTTATTCTCGAACAAAACTGGTTTCCATGTTGTTATTTTGTTCTGTGGGCAGCAGGGGAAAAGAGCGGATATTATATACTATACTGGATGTAGGGGCTTTGTGGAGGTCGTTTTGGAGTGGTCATCTCAATCAGTGTCAATGCAGCGACTTAAGAGTTGTGAAGAGTTTGACAAATGATGGCTCAAGTGCCAATTTCCTTATTGGGATGGTGGTAAACCAATGGCAACCACTGGATAATCCAGAAGACTTAGATGAGGAAGTGTAAATGGGGAAATTCAAGTACAATATGTAGGAGTTAGATATGATCACATGACCATTTTTTATAACATTTAATATATGCTTTCAATCAGATAATTTTTTAACATTATGCAATATAAATTCAACCGTTGCAGTTGACCCACTTGCTTTATTTTTATCTAACCACGTAAATTACTCATTTTTGTGCGTTCTAATAATAGCGAAAAAAGATACACAAACCGAAATCATTAATGCAATCAACAAACCAGGAAAAACCAGACACGCCTCCCATTGAAAACCCCTTAAAAAAAAGAACACAAAACAATTTTCATGCCTCACTGCACACTCAAATAAGCGCTTTTTGCTAAATGTTATTATTTGATCATTTGGACACACAACAGAATTAAAAAGAAAACTTAATTATACCGATGGATTATAGGGGGGAATGAGAGATTCCCCCTCGAATACCAAAATAAACTCAGAAATGCATTTTCTATTTTCGGCTGAATATTTTTGGTTGGTGTAAAATGTGTTGATTATTCATTTGGGGAAATGGAAATGCAGTCCCCTCGATTTTCCATCTCTGGGGTCACCCTGTTTATTATGTGAAACCACGCTCGACTGATTTATGTTCGTTTATAACAACGAAATCTGCGCTTTGTTTCCCCTGTTTGTTTGTTTGTTTTGAAGTTTTCCCAACACACAATCATATACATATATATATGGATAGAAAACAGACAACTTGATTGGAGCCATCATTATGCAATCACTGAATGTCACTTAATAAATCTCTCACATTTCAGCGCAATTAAGTGATTTGTTTGCTTTAATGTATTTATGTTTATTTTTCCCATCTATTTTCAGGCGTCACAATGCGCGAGAAAAAGGGAGGAGCCCTACAAAAGCTCAAGAAGAGGCTTTCCCACAGTTTTGGCAGATTAAGTAAGTACAAAATATAAACATACATTAATTAATAAATGAAATATTTCCAAGAATAAACTCTGACTATAAATTTTTCCTTGATTTGTCAATATTCTCAGGAAAAATCTTTCAATGAGTTGAGTCACTCTGTGATTTGTGTTCCATGTGGGTGCAGTTTCTTTCAAACAATAGTTAGTTATGGTAATGCTGTAGTCTATAGATAAATTTTATATATGCAATAATGCAATCGAAGTTGCGGCTTCGTTAAAACGTGTTTTAATCAAGCAGGCGTTGCAGAAAATGTCAAATGACAAATGTGAAGTTGAAGCTAAAAAACTCAGCATAGAAGTTGCTAAAGCGAATTGAAAAATAATGCATTGCCATAAAGAACTTTAAAAATTTAAAACCATTCTACTTAATTTTTCCTCAACTGCAAATCATTTTTTGTACCATAAAGTGTTGTCTTTTAATACCTGTAACTGCACCGTTAAAAAACCGATTCCGCTTCAATTTTCCCCATTCAAAACATCAAATTTTTTCATAGCTGTTATGAATTCAAAACATTTCCTGCCCTAAAGAACCCCAACTTCAATCAACTTTCCCTTAAAAAAAACCCACCGACTCATTCCTTCTTGAATTTTTGCATTTAAACGAACAAAAACTGCACTTCTCTTATTCTGTCCTTCAGCTTTTTCTGACCGAAAACACAATACGGAAATATAAAAAAGAAAAGTAAAAGCAATTTTTAGTTAAAAAACTTTTCTGTTGCCAGACCGCAACAGATACAAATACAAAATACAAAACAAATTCGCATTTTCAGACAGAAACTTATCGATTCCTGCGATGGCATGGTGGGAAAAGCTTTTAATGGTCTAAAAAAGCATTTTGATGGGTTGTCAGTTCAGCTCTTTTCGGTGAGGTAATTGAATGCACTCGTTCCCAGTCAAATGCAATTTGACAGACAAAAGAGACCGAAATATGCCAAAAATTGCGGGAAGTGTAAACAAATTTTGATGAATTACTTGATTGAATGCGAGTGTGTGGAGTGATGTTTCCCCCAACTAATTTTTGGATTTCACGAAAATTCGCCATGCATTTTTAGACGGTTTATTAGGCATGACATGGAAACCCGTATAGTTTGCACCATGTTGACTCACTGAAAAACCCGTTTTGGTTGCTTGATTTTGCGGCATGCGGCTAATTGTCTTTCGACGCCCACGCAAACGGTTTTTATTTTCGGTTTTGTTTAGCTTTTTTTCTGCCTTCATTTCTTGTTCCAGAAACTAGTTCGGCGAACAGCTGTTTTTCTTCCCATAATCGGAGCGATTTTGTGTGTTTTGCAGGCTAGTCAGGGGCGTCGTCAAAGATACGGCGATATAAAATGTAAAATATAGTTTGGTTGCCGTAGGTAAGCCCCTGAATAGCTGACTAATGGTCTTGATTGGCTGGAAATCGAACCATATTTGGCCTGAGTATTTAATTGACATTTTGTGTCGGGTCTTTTGTCTTAAAAGACCGAAAATATGTGCCATATATGGATTCATATGGCGATACAAAAGTAGTTAAAGCACCATTTTTTCCCAGAAAAATATTGGGAATCTAACAAACTTAAAAAATAATAAGGAAGTAGATACAGATTAACCATTTAGGTACATCCTAAACTTAAATTCCGTGATTCGAAATCATGTTTGATAGCCAATATTTTACCAACTGATTTCCTTTCATCAATCAAACCCTGAACGTTAAATTCCTTTTGCTTCCACTCATTGTACAACATTTCAACTCATGTTCAGTGAGCAATTTTACTATTTCATTTCGATGAAAGATGAAATTTTCAGCGAATTTTCTCCACCACACCCAATCTGTCAGCGTTTTCTCCTCGGAGATGCAACCACTCCCCATCAACAATTGGGCAATCCTTCAAGCGGAAACAATTTCAAATGCAACTTGAGCTTGCATTGAAACAATTTCTCACGATTTTGCCATTTGGGAGCTTCTGCTTCGCCTCGTCTCATAAATGTTGCATTACCCAAAAAAAGAACTAGTAAAGTTGACTTTATTTCAGCTGTAGTTTAAATGTTTTTATTGCATTATTGAGGAGTATTGTGCAGTAGCAGCTGTTGATGCAACTAAAAAGAGGGGCACAAAAATAAAACCAAAGAATGTCACTCGAGTTGCAAGTTGGCTGCCAAGGCCATTACAACAACCCACTAACTGTAGTTGCTAGTTGTTGGACTTGTCTTGGCTGTTTGTCAGCGAACTGATACTTGCAGCTTAACTATCGTTAATTGCCGCACGAGCTGCCGCTTGTCTTCCCTCGTTTTTAATTATACCCAGCTCAGTGTCTGTATCTCACTGTGGCTCCTTCTAAACTGCTTCATTCGACGGCCATAAAAGTTATGAAGCTATAAGACGTTGCACAAGAAATTAAGTACCTACACGTAAAGAAAAAGAACGATAAAAAGATATCTAATGTATTCATGTAATTTGAATTGATCAGTAGTTTGCAGTTTACTTTATAGTGTTTATGTGCCAGCTAAACAATTTGAGAAGCGCAGAGAGGGGCGCTTTCAGTTGATTTTAGCATTTACTGTATATATTGAATTACATTTTATTTTTTCGATTTTTTTTTCTGTGCATCTTGTCGTTAACAAGGGAACTCACAGCATTTCCTCTTCAGCTTTTGATGAGTGCATTCCATAGATCAGAAAAGTACAGACAGGAATCACATACAAACTCGTATATTATATTTTTATGTTTGCTTGCAGCGATCGAGATTTCTTTGTCATCTTTAGTTTTTTTCTGCTTGTTGAGCTGTAGATAACTGACAATGATTCATTGAAGTCATGGTTCTTGTGATCGTGTTCTGTGAGGATGGCAATAAAGTGGTTTTACGATAAGAAAACATGCTGGCAGTTGAATTTTCTTGTTTGAATGCTAGGGATTTGTAGAATTAATCATAGTGAAGAATAAAAAATAGGTTCTTTCATTTGTTAACTAGTTTTAACCTTTAAGGATGAAGTAATGTATAAAAAATAATAAAAAATCAGTGTTTTAAAACCCCACTTAAACCACTTTAATCTGCCAAATTCTACTTAGTAGAAGCAACAAACTACTCCAAACTGAAGTGAGAAATCCTCAACTTACTTAACCAACAATTGTGACACTTATCCCTCCGCCCATTTTCTTTGCCGCTAAGAAATAGAGGATAACTTTTCACGACTGAAGTGAGATTCTTGAGATAACTCGAGGCTCCTTTGCTCCTTTTTGGTGTAAATATTTTATGGCGTCGAATGTCCGACTTTGACACTTGGTTGTCGGCTATATCGTCGCCATCGCATCATCATCATCGTCGTCTCTATTTCTTTGTGCCAGTGATACAGTTCTCTACAGTGTTTCACCTCGCTCTTTACTATGTTTTTCTCGTTTTTGCAGGCTTGTCATAATCCTTTCTGATAACATTTTATGTCACAAGCCATGGCCAAACACACTCGACGTTGTCTATGGCTTTAACCCTTGACTGGTGTCCGTCCATCTGGCTGCCAGTCGCAGCCACTTGATAACTTTACACTTGAGCTCACTGTCGCTGCTATTTTCAGTCCTATAGGAGGAGTATACTCAATGTGGACAAAAAAAAGATGGAAAAAAGGAAATGTATATAAAAGAATCAGCAGCCGAAGACGAAGCGCGATAAGCAGCTAATGGCCGCCGACTGTTGATGCTTCCTCCATCGCCTCGCTTTTATCTCCCAAAACTCCGCACCCACCCTCTATATGGTATAGTATCTCCCCCACTCACTTCCCGAGTCTTTTCAATGCCCACAGATGGGCTAAACTGGACCCTGCCCGCATATGTGCTTCTGATACAGTGATAACTGCTTTGAGTGGATCTGAAGTTCACTTTGTAAATGATATATGGCATGGGTAAGGTTCCACTGTCAAGATATGCGGGTCTTAAGCTTTAAATTGTTTCGGCAAACTGCTTAGAAGTGATTAAAATGCAATTTAAAAGTGATTGACTGGTTGAGGGAAGGCATCGTATAATGGTTTTTGATTTGTTTCTACTTTTTAGCTATAGAATATTAATTTGAACATTCCAATCTATTCTAAAGTAATCCTATCACTTTAGTTTTGGTCTCCCCTTCTTAAATGGCAAACAAAAAATGGTTATCACGTTGGTTGATCATCCTATCAAAACATTCTTACCCTGGGATATGGTACAAAATATAGAAATAACTTCCCTGTTCTCCTTCTCGAGTTATCACTGTACCATCGCAGTCCATTCAAGTGCTACTGAGCAGATTCCGCTATCAGAACACGCATCGTTTCTCGCTTCTCGTCTCGCTTTCTCATCGCCTTTCAGCATTGTATTTACGCTCTGATTTGTGAAAAGCAGAGAACGCTACAGATGCCATCGGCCCCGCCCACCAGCATACCCCTAACCTTTCGCCCCCCAACTTGCCCCAACTTATCTAAAGATTTGAAGTACGTATATATGTGGACAAATCCGCTTTGGTGGCCCGTTTAATATGTCATGTCATTGATATGAAACGCTCTTTCAGTTCGTTTCAGTTTTATTTTCCGGCATGTGAGATGATCTCCGCGACGGCCACACGTCGTATGAGTAATCACGCACATGACCTCTCGCTCGCTTAAGCACATTTAATGCAGTTCTCCCCACCCTCCACGAAATGTTGCACTATTAAATACCATGTTATATGAGGAAAATACTCATATATGTTACCAGCGCAAAATCCATAAACCGGAAGGTTTTTTTACGCCCTCTGCGCGTTGAAAAGAAATTTATGCGGGTATTTTCTGTGTTTTATTACACGAATTTCTGAATTTCTGAGCAATTTAGTGAGGCCTCTCAACGTGGAGGGTTTTCCTCGATTTTTCCGTGCTTATGCTTGTGACATTGATGAGTGGCACTGGGCACTGAACTGTATGTGGGGTTAATGGTACAGCATCGTAAAGGGGTTAAAGGTTGAGGCATTGGAAAATGGGTTGGGAAAGGTTTTG